TTTACTGGAAACCTCCCAGGCCAGGACATTCCCCATAGTATGTGAAAATCCTCTTTAGGAAGAAGTCAGTCTGGGGTGAGTTACTAACTTAACTGCCACAATGTGTCGGTAGTGTGGGCTAAATACATGCCTGATTTGTACACCATCACCAGACATAGTTCTGAGATGTAACTAGCATGCCCTTGTTAACATCCATTAAAATCAAGCAACAGAACAGAGAAGAAATAAATTTAAATAATCTAACGGCTGTTCCTCCTGCTTTGCTGATAACTCTGTATAAAACACATGCACAGAAACAGAGAGACAGGGGCAAGCAAGAGCTCACGTGGGGCACTGTGGTTATGTAATGCTGTCCAGCCCTCCTGAGTACCCAGTTAAATCATGCGGACAACTGCACAGACTGGGGGCAGGAAAAACTGGACAACCACTGGGTAGATCAGTGATGGGGCCAAACAAGAGTTGAGGAAAACAGAGCAGGGGGTAAACTGCAAGTTTCTTTTAGCAGGCCTGCAGTGCAAACCTGCAGTGCTCCATACATACGTTGCAGCCTGACAAGTCAGCGGGGTGTGCGGCATGATGCATCGCGGACGTTGCGGATCTGCTCTTAGGGAATTGTTGCATTGTGGAGCGGCAGCGGGAGCAGGGATCACCATGTGTTGGCACAGACAGTGCCACCACTCTGGCAGGCTGGAAACACATGTCTGGGATTAAACCTGTGCAATCATTTAGTTAACGAACACACTGTGGCATGAGGCACTGGAGAAGAAACCATCTCCTCTCTCTTCTCTATAGAAAGTGGGGAGGGTAGGACAAGTAATGCTTCAACACTTTGCCATTAAGCCAACAGTGAACTGGGCAAAGAAAATGCCCTACACTGGACTTGGGGGTGGGAGGAAGACAGTTCACTTGTAGCCAACAGAGCCCAGCTTGACTGCCAGCTAAGCTGGTCATATTGGAGCAGGAAGAGAAAGGCCCCATGGCATGCAGGCAGGCTAATCTTTCTCCAGCTCCTTGTGCTTCATGCAGGCTGTGACCAATGCATCTGCATTCAAGACAGTGTGTAAAGTCTGCGTGTGTATGTGCATCACTCAGCACCTCTGCTGGAAGAGGGCTGGGAGGAGGAGAGAAGAGTCACGTAGCACCCAGTTGTGAGCTGGGACCAGGAGAGAACTAGCGATCACCATTGCTCATGCAGTCGTCCTTAGTGCGAAGGGACAGCAGAGGAAGCGCCGCTTCGGAATTTGGGGAAGTTTGCAGGAGAAGAAAAGGTTTGCTGGGAAGTGAAGTGTGAAATAGTGCAACCTGACTGCTAGGCAGCAGTAGGGAAGGAAGAGGAAGGCAGGGGACGAAGAAGACATGTGAGGAACAAGGGACTGTGGGATTACTTTTGGAGAACCATTGACCAGGCTGTTTTCACAAAATCCAAAACCACTTCAGGACAGAACTATTGCAGATGGTAAAATATACCAATAAAACAACAGTTTACATGCTAGCCTGAGATTCTCAAACTTACATAGAGAGCTGTAAAAACTCCAGGCTCAAGTTAGCCACAGGTCAACATGACCCTCTTCCTACATCAGCGCTGGTTTTTAGGCTACTATTTGGCCATCATGAGCCCTACTCCACCAAAGGTATGCTATTCCCCTTTCCCTGTGGCAAATTTCCCACAGGAGAGTCATGAACATTAGTGATTTGCATTCATATCCACTTCTCCCCTTCCCAGTTTCCAGTTCCCATAGGAAACCCACCCACTGAGTCAGGGACATAAAGATCTGCATAACATTTATAGTCCTGGTGCAAGTCCCCTCAGCTGTTCCATATGTCCAGTAGCATCTGTTATGGCTCAAAATAGGTTTTTGCAGTCTCCAGGCTTTGAAAACATTGCCTCAGTCTCCACAAAGTTCCCAGTGCCTTGCCTGCAGTGTGAGAACAGATCTCAACCAAAAGCAGGGAGAACATCCGAAGACACTCTCGGACAGATTTTTGCTATGTGATGTAACAGGGCATACCCCAGAAAGACAAAGTGTCTTCTTGTGGGGAGGAAGTTCTCAATTTCTTCTCTGTGGGGAAATCAAGACAAAGCTAAGCATCTGATAAAAGATTTGCCAAAAACTGGGAAACTGAAGAACCACTGACATTTTGTGGTTGAAAACCCAGCCAGGAGATGGGCAGTTGAGTAATGCCAACCTTGGCACACATACCAGAGAGGGGGAAGGGCCCTGCTAGATGTCACGGAGCCACACAGCAAAATGTAGAGCAAGGGGAGAGGGAAATCTTTCACTTAGTTTGCGATGCCCACATGGATGGCTGAGCTGCACCAGACACCTCCCTGTGATACACAGGACAGAGAAAAACAGCTCAGTCTCAAGAGGCAAAGAGATTCCCACTGACCCCAGGGACTGCTGGGGTCAGTGGGAAAAAAGAAATGCTTAAGCTGCATTGACAAATGCAATGTCCAATGGAAGGACAAGAGCAAAAGCCTTTGGCATCCATTGGAAGTGATTAACAAAGTCTGAAAGAGTATGTCAATTTTCTCGAGTAACTAAATTTTCCTGAAGAAACAGAGCAGGCACAGCACTGCTGTTTGTACACAGAGGCCTTAGCCACATATTCACAAAATCAGCCTCACCTCCCAGCCGCACCCAGGGTGTTAAACCTTAATGACCCACCACGTGAAAGCCTCTTAGCTTGCCTGATGGTGAGAGAAGCTGGAAATCCTGAAAAGGAGCCAGATGCTGCCATAAGATCTCATACTAGACAACGCTATCTGTGTAAGTATCTTTAAAGTGCCTTAAAAAGCAAAACTCATGTTGCTCAGATTGGTAGGCCTCTCCACAGAGAGTTTAGCACCACTTGCTGTTCCCAGCCAGACACCCCAGCCCGTGCCTATCCTTTTGTTTTCATATCAATGCCATACTTCAGCTTAAAAAGCTTGGTTTTAAGTGCTCTCAGTTGCAGACTGCAATCAGACGTCCTACGTGACATGCCGACTAGTTTTTCCCTTCCCCCTGCAAGAAACAGTTGCTGGAAAATTACCCCACTTGGGACAAACCAAGGTGCTGCTACCAGCCTTTACAAACACAGTGATTGCCTGGGTGGGGAAATTCATAAAGCATGGGAGCAGAAAACCCTTCCCTAGCAGGAAGGAGAAGAAAATTAATTAAACCATCAATTAGATCCAGAACTGAAAGTCTCAACAATTTGCAGGGCATGCTGAAACCTGCAAAGGAAGCCTTTTCAGGAAGTCTAAGCCCAAAGAACTAAATGGAAGCTGGCAAATACAAAGGTTTATTATTTTATCCGGATCTGTGTCTTGCACCGCATACTAAAGGGTCCCTTGTTTCAGACCCCTGCACACTCTGTATGCTCAGCACTTGCTGTAATGCCAGCCCCAAGTCCCTGAAGATCTAGGCTGTTAGACTGGATGTACATAAGGAAATTGAATGTCACTGGAAATGGGGAGAAAGAGGGATCAGGCTGTATGCGTGGGTGGGAGGACAGGAAGAAATCATCAGGACAGTGAAACTCTAGCTCCACAGGAGGTGAGCAGAAACGGAGCTTGTGTGCATGCACATCAAACCCAGGAAGAAGCCTGGGCTGCAGCCAACAGAGGCCAAAGGAAATGTGAAGAATAAACACTCTCCAATAGGAAAGGATCCAGCCCTTGTATTCAGCAGCTAGGAAGAGACCCTACAAATCTGTGACCATAAGCATCCATAGCATCCCCTAGAAAGGACAACTCCATCGTCCTCAGATGTCCACAGGTACCTGTTGCTGCAAGCCCAAGAGCAGAGCCTGTCTCATTAACTCTCTAAGTTACCAGTGGGCCAGAATAGGTGTAGGCTGCTGCCTTTTTTTTTTTTTTTTTTCTCCCAGAGAAAATCCTAGAGAGAATGAATTCTTAAACATTGTCAGGGATACCCAGGAGGATTTCAACTCTCACACATAAGACAATGGTCTTGGGGAAAAAGACGTGTCACTGTGCTGTATTCCTCTGTAGGTCTCAGTTCCCCTACATTTAAGGTTACATGATAAATCTCATGGAAAGAACAGAAACATCTGTGCAGTCCAATTCTCACCATGTGAGCTGACATCTAGTCTTCGAAGAACAGAACTGTGACTGACTAATGTGGAGTTTTAGGGCAGAAAGCAAGTGGACAAAGACTGAAAGAAGGAAGATGGTATAAAGGCCCAAGAGGCATGCCATTGTCTTTCTTGGGCCAAAGAGCTTGTTGAGGGTAAAAGAAGCAGTTCTACTCATGAAGAGAAGGCAACATCTCATTTGAAACATCAAGACAAAGTGATCCCATAAAAACAGAGTTCCTGGAAAGGAATCACCCAAGCAACACTCATATAAGTTCCATTCAGCAGAAATACCTTGAAACATGTGTTTATTTACCTTTTTTTAATCCCAGAATCTTCACTTTTTCCCAAGGCAGATTTTGGATCATGGGGGTACAAAACCGGCTAAGTACATATTGCAGTTAAGAGTCCAAGTGAAAGAAGAAATCCAAACCAAGTCTCTAACCTAAGTGCCAACCTGGAAGCCATATTTGCTCCTTTAACAGCTATGTCTTTCCCCAAAGTTTCACACTTCAAAATGGCCATAAAGTGCATGGATGGCTTCTAGGACACAGGCAGAGAACAGGATCATGAGGCACAGTTACACAAGTATGACCATCCTGTGAGTGAACATGGTAGAACATCCCGAGTCATGAGCTTGGCTTGACTCAAATTACTTCCCTGTGCTGCGACCAGCACTCTCTCCCCTCCATCTGATATGGTAAAAAGGTCACAGAATCACAGAATGGCTGAGGTTGGAAGTGACCTTAGCAGGACATCTGCTTCATCCCACCTGCTCAAGCAGGGTCACTTAGAGCTGGCTGCCCAGGTCATCTTTATGCCCCAAAGCAGTACCAGTAAGGTAAGGAGAAAGTGCCAAAGCGCTATGTACTTGGACTTGTTACCCAACACCTTCAACTGAGGACACTTAACCAGGAATACTACAACATCTTTTCCAAATCCTGTTTCAAGGCAAATTATCTGCAAAGCTGGGAGACGAAGCAGCTTATTACACCGTCTTCCCCTTTCCCTCAGAAATAATATTTTCAGGCTGTGCTCGCATATACCATTCCACCCAGGCCCCATCGTACACAGCGACATCTGGTTTGCCACAGAGGTATGCCCCCAGAGCCACGTGGCAGGCAGTGACCCCAGAGCCACACGTGGCTACCACCGGCTTTAACAAGTCCACCTTCTTCTCCTGGAACAGACTGCGGATCTGCTCAGGGGTCTTCTCTAAGCCAGACTCTGTGAGGAAATCGGTGAAGGGGATGTTCATTGACCCCGGGACATGACCAGGCTCAATTCCTGCAGGAAAAGCAATACAGATAGGAATTAACCTCTACTGTCTGTGACAAATCCATTGCAAACCCCATTCTCTGTTTGACTGTGAGGGAATATTCTTTGTTTAGTGTATTTTGTTAAAACAAATGCATTTATTTTTGTTAAACTTTGCTTTACTAGATTACTCAGGAAGGATGGCTCTAACCTTCAGGTTACAGTATGGACACAACCCTGCCAAGTTCTGTTCTTCCTCCCAGTTCCCTTCACATCTTCCCCACATCAGAGTGACCCACTCTGACAAGGCACTGACTGAAGCATATCCACAGGCCCTTCTGAGGGGAAGAGTTGCACCAGTACCATGAAGAGACCAATGTATCTTTCAGATGTATGAAAGCTATCTTCCTCACACCAGCCCTTCATGAAAAAAAAAATACACAGCCTCCCCACTCCTGAATTTTCACGGAGCAGTACTTGCTAGTCAAAAGGAGAGGAGGACAGGTGGATACACTGCTTCGAGTCCCTTCCGATAAAAGACATTACCTCTACAGGAGACAGACCTTAAATGAAGCCCCTTTTCATTATGCCAATGTCTCAGGAGGCACATTACCATCTCGGGGCTCTGGCTCTACTCCCCGGAACCGTCCTGCAGCGCGCGCATCCACTAGTTGGAAGCGGTGGGAATCCAAGTTATCTACGACATCCTCGTACGTTTTCACCAGAGACTTGTCCAAGGAGGCATGGAACTCGGCAGGAGCTACCTGGCTTTTCCCGGAGCTCAGCGCATTCCCCTCTCGCTGCCAGTTCTTCAGGCCACCATCCAGAAGGGAGACAGCTTCATGTCCAAAGGCCCGGAACATCCACCACACCCGGGGTGCTGAGAAGAGACCTTGGTCGCTGCCATCATACACCACAACATGGGAATCATTCCCCACACCCAGCTTCCCCACATACTCAGCAAAGTCATCAGCCTTGGGCAGCATGTGATCATAAGGCGAAGTACGGTCGCTGCACTGGTCAATGTCAAAGAAAACTGCACCAGGGATATGACGCTCCTCAAATTCCCGCTTTGGGTCACGCTTCATCTTTGGCAAATACCAGGATGCATCCACAATTCTTAAGGCCAGACCAGCTTGCTGGGACCTGATGGCTTCCGAAAGCCATTTTGCAGACACCAGAGCACGGTAGAGGAGTTGTTGCGACATTGCTCCAGAGCCCTGGCTGAGATCACCTGATTCCTGGGGTCTGCCTGAATCCACCTGACTACAAAAGAAAGTAAGTCGCAAATTAGAGACCAGTTTTACAAAAAGCGACTGGGCGAAGATGCATTTTGGGACCAGAGACCTCTGTCTGCACTGAGGTACTGGCTAAGCCTACAGTGAGGGGGTTGAAATGCTCTGAAAATAGTTTCACAGAGCTCAGCTCAAACTCTGACCCAAGCGGGACCGCCATGACAGAGTCCTGCCCTGTGCTCAGCCCCTGCAGCCCACCTGGCTCCACCTCCAGCGACCACCAGTCAGCGCTGACAGCAGCAAGAGAGGAGCGGGGCAGCCCCAGGGACCCTGAGCGGAGGGGACCGAGCGCGCCGGGATGAGGCACGGCCCCACGACGAGGGGAGGCTCTGCCCCACCGCTTTCACCGCCCCGGAGCGTATCTC